CCCCTTTTTTTTTTTCTTTTTGCATTGTGATCTGTTCCTTATTCTGATGAATCAGTAATTGATGGGGTAAGAAACTATGGTGCATGTGGAGAGAGGAGAGGATAGTAGTGTCTGGGGGCAGTAAAGAATGGGAAACTCCAACCTGTTTTACCGTCACGATGCCTCTCTGAAATCGTGTTTTCTTTTTGAAGTGAAACAGATGAGCAGAATATATTCACTTTGGTTTTGAGAACTCTGAGCATGCAGATGGCACAAGAAGCTGCAGGCACCTGCCAGATGAAACACTGGGTGGAACTGAGACAGCCCCTGAGCTGTTCAGCACTGCAGAGATATTACTGCCTGCTTTGTTGAGTGTGCTCCAGCTACCTAAGTAACAAAGAAAGTCATTAAAAGGAAGGAGGTTTAAGTACAGTCAGTCCACTAATTTAAGTTTCAGAACATACAGATCCTATTCCATCAAAACTTGGCATGGTGAAAAGTTGAAGGCACAGCTGCTACGCTGCAAGTGAATCCCAGGAACAATCCTGCTATTTACGGAGTATCTACACTAAAGAGTGACAAAAGTGAGTAAGGTGGGATAATTACCTGACATAGTACAATGCTGTGAACTGAATTAGTCAGGGACAGACCATTTAATGCATTACAGGCATTACCTAAACCATTTGTATTAAGAGGACATGAAATTATGTTATGTTAATTTATGCCATAGTATGAAAGATGACTGGACAGGTTTATGTGTTGTATGATCACTAAGGAAAAAAAAAACCTGACAAAGCAATCCTGAGCTTACAAGAGGAGAAAAAAAAAAAATAGCTGGATTGAGGTAGTTGTGGGGAATGGGAGGAAAAAGGACCTTTAGTCACCTGGACAGGCTACAGTCTTTGCACACCTTGTACATTTAATTTTCTGTTTTGTTCTTTATACAACCAAAGGGACTTTTTTACAACATGAGACTTAAGGAGAATTAATAAAATATCCCACTAATGGGTACAACAGAATCTGAAGAACACAACTAGATCTAATTCAATTAGGTCAATTAGACCCACTCTATAAAACATTGTTTAAAACCACAGAAATTGCTCTGCTTTTTCACTTTATACATATCACTGATAGCTACCAAAGACAGGATATTAGTTTAGGAATATCTTTGGTCTTGCCTGTTGCAGTGATACTCCTGTATGTCCAGAGAAATACATAAATTAAGAACACTAAAACATTCATTTCTCATACTGAAGATTAACTACAGCTTCTTTTGTATGGGTTTTTACCTATTAACTTATATAGTTAGCCTGGAAAGAAAATTATTGATTTTCTTTGCTGCTCTTATGCCTTTGGTATTACAATATTCCTTAAAGAAAGCCCCAAAGCCTTCCCACATTCAGTGTCCAAGACCATTCTTCCACAATCTCTAACCAGGCTGAAAAGTGAGTGGAAGAAGATTAATGTCCACAATTACTAAATGAGCTGTTGATAAAAACCAAATCATTAGCTTCATAATTGGTTATCATAAACAATTAACTTAGTGAACTACTATCTGGTTGTCACCAGATTGATTCTGCACACCATACTGGTATTTAAGAGATGAGAATGCAGGTCTCCTCAGAGATAACAATTCCTGTTGCTGTTTTGTGTGTAGCTGATATAAATTATACCCTTCCTCCTTTGTTCTGCCACATTTGAAAATGAACCAAATAAATGTCTAGAGAAAATGATAAAGCCACTTTTTCCTTCACAGTGTTTATGGAATGACAGCCATTCATTCCAAATTACCCTTCTTGCAAATATCATTCTTCCTGTTTTTAAGTATTCCCCAATTGTTTGATCCTGTACCAAATCAAATGCTTCCCTAGATTTGTGTAAAATATTTTCACTAATGCACCAAATGTTTTGTTTGTTGGGATGAGTACTGTATAACCTAAAATCCCTCACTGATTACTTTCTTCTATCCAGGCACTTCATCCTTTTCCCTGCCTGTATATAGAAGCTGTTGATTTTGTACACATCCAAGATTTAGCTGGGACACTGATAAATATATCCATCTTTCCAATGGATTTATTTCTGATTTAAAAAAATATCCCTAAATGGTTTAATTTCTTAGATTTTTAAGGATAAAATTTCCTTAGTTTTAGAGTGTATAACCTTTCACCATTCTTCTGTTCCTTATTGATTCTGCTGGGATACTAATTTCTTTCTTTCACATATGGAAAAGGAATAATGAACAATAACTATTCCACTATTTAATCTTTTTATTAGATATTAGAGGAAAAAAACAGTACCACTGCAATGCTCCTCCCTGTTTTTAAACAAACTGTGATTGCCATCTCTAGAAGCTTTTCTAGGTTGTTTGGATTTATTTTTGTAAGCATAATTTTGGTTTTTAACCAACTTTAGTTTCATTTTTCAAATTTATTTTTTCCCTTCTGTTGTTAAATTTATTCTGGCACACTTCCAGGATCAATCTCCATCTACTTTTCTTCCAATGAATTTATATGTGCTGAGGTCTTTACTCTTTCTACAGAGGCAACATGGTGTATTGCTGCTCTAAATGGGTTGCATAATTCTGGAGTACTTGTTTAATCCTGAAACAATTATTTAGTTAATTCAATATGCCCAAACACCCCCTCTCCCACCTCCTTTAAAATACTCATCAAAATACCACCTTTTTCCAACACATGTTCTGCTCGACTATAGTAACTATGCTCTGGAAAGAAATGAAAATGCTTTTTGCTTGGTCTCTGGAAGTCACAATCTTCAGTCGTAACTGTGCATTACATTCCTGAAAAAAATATTGGATCTTGATATATTTGTCAGGAAGTTTCAGTTGCTTTTTCTCTATTTATGATGAATCTCCCTTTTCTCTTCTAAAATAGTGTATATATGATTATAGCATCATTTCCAGTTAGGTTTGATAGAGAGCACTGAAATACTAAGCAAAATGAACTGAAGACAGAGATGTTAATCACCAATCAAGTCATAGTGCCCCAAACTAAATAAAAATAAATTAGGAAAATACAGCACAGAAAAGTACATCTTATAGACAAAGAACAGTTCATGCTCTGTTGAAAGCCTGATTTTTTGAAGCACTTTAAAAATCAGTATGGAAAAGTACTTCCTATTGTAAATTGCAATATGTTAAGATAATTTTTGACTATTTATTTTATGTCAGGACTTTGAATTATTGATGGCTGATGATTAATGCAGGTCCATTTCTGATCTCATGTATTTAATAATTTTAATTTTTTCAGTTCATTTGGCACATCAAGAAAGACAAAGAAATAAACAGTGATACAGAAGAATATGAGGACAGCTTTTGAACCTCTGATCAGAGTAACATCTAATGCCTCCCTTGCCCAGGTAATTTTCTGAATTCACATGGACTGGAAAAGTAACATAAAAAACCTTTCATAATCTAGGTACTGAAGTAAAAGTAATTTATTGTTACTAAGATTAGCTCTTAAAGAGAAATGTCTTGTGAGCATTTCGTACAATTATCAAAATCATACATTATTAAATCCAATGAAAACCTCTAATAACAGCGGTAAAAAATACCTCCATGAAGCTTAGTGAAAGTGTTATTCAGCTGTTTAGGGTCTTGAATGAAAACTTTGTGTACAGAAAATGTCTGCTGAATCATTATTGTTTCTTTATGGAAATGCAGTAACTGTGAAAAGCCAACCATAATTGTGCAGTGTTGATGTTCTCTTTCAAATTTCTCATCTTCTGGACTCTGACAAACATAATTCACTGGCAATTCTCTCCAATCACACCCTAATCTTACCTTACAAACACACAAGGGACATATTGCCTTACAAGGGGCACATACAAGTTCCAGGTGCAACAAATATATTCAGCAAAGAACTAACCAGGTAACAAAAAATATATTACAAAACAAAAGAAACATGGCCTGAGTTTCTGCATTACAAGTCCCTATGCTTTTTTATCTGTCTGTCCCACAGTGAAGACCAGGACTACAAACCTACAAATCTCATAAACAGCTACAGCAAATGTGGAGAGAGACGGATATGTGTCCTGCTCCTGAAATGAAACACACATAAGCAAACCCTGCCTGCATTAAGGTGATCTTTTTGTACTCCCTACACTGACAAGTGCTTCGTGTATTTTAAAAAGAGCAAAGGAAATTGCAGAACTCTTCCCCAAAAACCTCTTCCACACTTGTCCCAAATTTTCTGGCTCCTTGTCATGACTGCTACATGATATCAGCACCCTGGGGCCCTTTTCTGTCAAGAAGAGTCTTTATTTCATTTACCTAAATAAAGAAGCATGAACAAATGCACAGACACATGTCACAGCATCTGCCAGCCATGACCTTGTGCAACCTTCTTAATATTTTTCTTGTATCTTTCCGGTTGCATTATTTTTCATTTCATCCTTCTTGATAGAAAACATCTATAGTATGAACTAAACCCATTATACATAATAAAATGCTGTTCAAACATTTTACACTTATGTATTTTCCTTCCATTTAAACAGTATTCAACTCCCATGTTGGAACTAAGTGCTCTTCAATACCCCATTACTGGGCTTTCCTACTCTGCATGGACAGGTCCTAAGAGCAGGGTGATTTTGTCTCAGTTAAAAATGAGCCATACTAAGGCAGTTATATTTTCAAACCATACCACTTTCTCCTCTGTAATTCCTTGGTTTCTAGTTCTAACATGCTCTAATATTGACTGACACTAACTTTAGACTAATTAGAAATATTTTCTGTGAATTCCCCAACCAATGTATGCAGGTTTTCCTAATACCAGAAGAGAGCTGAGTATGAACAGCTACTGCCAGTCCAAGTGCAAAGCTGCAATGGAAATCTTCTGTGTGTCCATGGGAAAAAAAACAAAGTTCCTGATGACATCTTGCACTGTTTTCCAGTTACCACTGCTGCTCTGGAAGGCTCTAAGTTTCCAGAGGAGATAGCTGGATCAGGAGTTGGACTCCCTGAGGAGCTAGTAATAAAGCTCTAATCCCTTTTGCATCTAAATTGCTTCTGCTGACTTAGCTGAAGTTTTTTATTGTCCCCACAGTAGAGTTAACAGGCCTATCTCCAGCCCACCATCCTCACATGCTCACTTGCCTCCATTTCTGCAGTGTCACTGCGACAGGTGAGTCAGTGAAACATTGCCACCTTAGGGCTCCTTTCCCTGACAATTGCTCTGGCTGCCAAAACAGCAGGTACCTCCATCCTGCTGTTACATCCTGCTGCTGTGGAGCATCTTCTGGAAACATCTTCTGTTTCCATAAGATGAGCTGTCCTTTGGGCTTGGGCTGCTCAGCTGCTCCCTATGGGGTGGGCAATCTCCCTCTGTGAGGTTTGCTGAGCACTTGCACAGCGCAGGTTACCTGAATGGCAGACTGACTGCATAAAGCACAGGCAGGTTTCTAAAAGCAGAATCTCGATGTTAACGTTCAGGATTGGCAAAAAACACCCCAAACTTGCAGTGGATAGAATTCCACAGCACAGAATAACCTCCCACTCATACCAATTTCCTTGTTCCTTTCTGATAAACAAACACATCTCAATATAACAGCTTAACAAACACATACACAGGCAGACAGCACAACCCCTCGAGAGTGGATTATTTCCCCAAAGAGTTACTTTGTGAAGGACGTCACTGATCATATTTCAAGGTGTAACTGCTGTGCCAGCTTCTTGAGGCTGGATAACACTTGAAAACCTGATCTCAGGTAAGCAAAGGGGTGAATTGGCCCTGTTCAGAGTGGTACCATGATCCTGCTGATGCTCAAGGCCAGGGGAGTGGCAGGAGGGCTGGAATCCATGGTTCCTCTGTCTCACCACAGCTGAAAAAATAAATGCTTTCATCATGCAGTTACTGCTCAGAAGATGGATCTGATTTCTGAGCAGTAGAAATTGTGCCTTATCAGGAGAGTATGACCCACCCAATGCTAACACACAGCAAGAAAAAGTCTGAGTTTTGAAAAAGCACAAGAAAGCTTAGAGGGTTTAGGTAGCTGAGCAGAAATGAAGTCTTGGCTGTTTTTGAGAAAAATCTCAAAAAAAAAAAACTCATCTCAGAAAGAGAAACAAGCCATATACTCCCTCTCTAAAATAATTCCTGCATTTGTGAGAGTCTCAGAAGAATGTAATAAACATCAGCTGGGGTTGCGAAATGAGATGCACTGCTGCACTACAGAGCAACAGGCACGGAAAACAGAGTGAACTGAAAAGGATCTAGATGAAGCAGGGAACACAATCATTAAAAACTGCTATGAAAATTGATGCGAATCCATATTAACTTGCTACTTTCTTTTCCTTGTTATCTCTTACGTTCTCTGTGCTGTCAAAGGTAAAAAATCATCAGTACAGAGTTTCTAAGCCAGACTTGTGGTCTACAGCAGAAGGAAGTCCATGCCAGGAAAACAATGACTAATAACACTTGTGAGACATGCTGTGTCAACACAAGTGACAGATGCCAATCATTAAGACTCCAGATGAGCCTCAGCTACAAAGTTAAGACCAGAAAAAATCTGGAGGAGGGCTGAGGACAGCAATATCTTTTCAAAGGGATCAATTTGCACTGTTTGCACCTGCTGAGCTTGTTCGAGTAAATCTGTCCCCAGGCATATGCCATGTGGATTGTACATGAGGCACACACAGGTGCTGTGCATTTTCAACTAAGTAACCTTTATAATAAAATAATAATGCTTATTTTAACATTTTCTTTTTATTTTTTATAAATCATAGCAGGTGCAACAACCTGTGACTCATCAAAGCCATCCCACGAGGCTCCTGCTGCCCTGGCTTTACTCATCCTTCCTCCACCACAGGCAGGGTAACTACAGGTGTGAGATCTCAAGGGCTGGGAATGGCTCTACATCATTTATTTATACAGCAGTAAGACAAATTTTGGTATTTGTTTCAATGCATGATACCATTGTTTGATAAATTTAAACCACACCATTCAAGAGTTATAGTGGTGTGCAGATAAAGCACTTTGGAAATTTGGTCAACACTGGAGAGGTTATATCAGAAAAGGAACAAGCTCCACATAGAGGAGATGCTGAGAATCAGCTACACCACCTATAAAGTTCAAATTCAGATTGAATGAAATCAGTTTTAAGTAGACCTGTGAGTCTGCAGGTTCAGAAACAAAACTAATGATACTCTTTATGTCACAAAGAAAAGCCACACTGGGGCCAGAGACCTTGTGCTCAGACAGATAAGAGCTGGAATAAATAGTTCAGCTGGTCCATCCTTCTGCCACAGCAGCACTGCTCTGAATGACTGGCTCCCATGTGGATGTGTTCAGAAGAGATTCAGGTTTGCCTTTCATTAGGAAGCCCTTTGGAAACACATGCAGTCTGCTGGGTTACAGCCTAACAAAAGAAGCAATAGACATAGCAGGGGAAAGAAGTTTAAGAATGTTAAATCACAGACAAAAAAGTACTGTGCCAAATGAGGAAAACCAAAGAGAAGTTGAAGCAGAGGTATTTGAATAGAAGGCAGAGAGAACAGAGCAGATGAGAGGTAAGTCTTCGGGCGAGTGGGGACTGAGGCACAGGGAATACAGACATAGACCAGATAAGGAGGAAATATGGGATAGAAAAGACCATGCCTTTGTCAGAAGAGCTTTCCATTAACACCCAGCACAACACACATTGAGTGCACTGGAGGGAGAGTGAGCCACTGAGCTCTGATTCATCCACCCTACAGATGGACACAGTGCCAGGATAGTGAGGTTGGCAGAGAAACACACATCTTCAGACAAGAGTTGAGTTTTGGAGGCAAAATTCTCTCAAACTGGAACTAAAACTATACTACTGAAGAAAAAGAAGTGCTTTTCCAGTGTCAGGTTTGATCCTGAAACTGCTGAAGGCACTTGAATTGAATGATCTGCAGGAACTGACTACTCTGAGTAGAATGAGATAGTATGGAAATATGGGAATTGGGAGCTGTAAACTCCTACATATAAAAGCAATTTTCCTAATTTTCAGTTGTCATATAGTGTTTTCAAAAAGCAATTCTGCACAATTGATATTTTGTAATAAAACCTCATCCATGGAAAGGTTATCAATCAGTTTCTACTGCCTTATTAAAAGTAATAATAAAAAAGGCAAAACATAACCCTCTGAGAAGACTGTGGAGAAAACAAAATAAGAGTAATGAAGGAGTTGAATGAGTTAGATGTAAGGATAGAGACAATAAAAAGCAGTAATACATCAAGGAAGATATCTGAGTGCATAAAACAAAATTACTTATTTATATAGGTAGAGGATTCATAGAGAGAAAACAGTTCTTGATTAGACCATAGGATTGAAGAGAGATCTTGATTTGAAATCAAGAAGTAAAATTATGCACGGAGAAAGCACGTTGCATAAATATTTTGGTCAGGTATTCACTGATGTGTTTAAACAATTGACTCCCAACACAAGAAGAATAAAATAAAACATTTTAGATGTTACGATAGGAAGTATAAAATAGAGCCTGTACTGAAATAAGATAAACAAGATGCAGAAGTATAGGCCACAAAACAAGAAAATGAATTTTCTGTTGAACCAGAGATTTGAATACCCAAGGTGCAGTGATACCTATGGCAAGATTTCTAAAAGCCTCTGCAGTTCATGCTGTCCAATTCTTGGAATTTTTTGACATTTTCTTTGATTCTACTCTCAATTTAACAGAGAAGAATCATGCCTGATTCAAAGATAATGGATTAAGAGCAGCTTTACCTCGAGGATGAGCAGAGAAAAGCTATAGTATTTAAAAAAGGCCCATTTAAGAACTCAGATTATTCATTCCTCTAGATTTAAATAAAGCAGATAGGCTTAACTCAATAAAATAAGCACTATCCTGTAAATCCATCCTTTTGCATATCAGTAAAAAATCAGGACATAATCCAAAATAGAAGGAAATGAAAACTGAAGAGGAAGAAAATAAAGACAACAACAGCCACACAGCATCTAGATGCAAAGTTCTTACAACATATAATATGGTATTTATCTCATCTTGACAAGCAGTAATAAATTCCTTTCCAAAGTAATCACTAAGCTAATACTGATAGAGTTTATATATAGAATATCAATTCTAGTATGCTCTGCCATGCAAATTGTTTTATAAAATTATGAAACCAAAGCTGCAAAAAATATGCACTTAAAATCAAGCAAACATCCACTGTAGTGTCCATAACCCAAACATTAGCAAGTGCTGGTAAGAGCAGGAGGAACAGCCAGTGAATACGTGAGCTTTTGGTCAATAAATAAAATGATTACTTTGTACTCTTTGCTTACCTTTGGCTAAAAGGAATCAAACTAGGAAAGTTAATTGAATTTTGTAAAGCACCATGGTTTGAGAAAGATCAAAGTGTTCTTCAGAATGAAGTTGTTTTTTTTTAGGTCATGATTTTGTGCTTTCTTCTTAAATGCGATGCACTCTAAGAAGCAATTGTTTTAAAACAACAATAGGTCAGTGATTGAACAGAAACTCAGAAAACACACATTTGTGCCAAGGAGGAACACAGAATACAGAGACCAAAATAAATTAATGTGAATGAAAAATAACCATAGAATGCTGGTTTGTGTGCAAACTTTGTTTGTTTGTTTTTGTTTGCTTTGGTTATTAGTTTGGTTTTTCCCTCTAAGGTAAATATTGATTGAAAAAACAATCAGTTTAGAACTGGAATCATAATAAGTTATTATTTTGTTATTAGGAAAAGATTATAGCCAGAGTCATACAAACTGAAGAGTCCAACTTCTGCCACTAAGATGACCAAGGGGCGAGTCTATAGGAGAAAGTTCTACACCTATATAAACCCTAGGTACTGGTCCAGGGAGGATTTTCTGGCTTTTAGACTAACTGATGTGTGTTCATAAGGGTTAAATGGTTTGCCTGTGTTTAAAATGCCTAGTAGCAAAGCTACGTTTTTTGAGCTAATGTCTGAACTATGGCAAACATTTGTTTGCAATGGTCTGCTGTCTGACCAAAATCCTATTGTTCTTTTATTACATAAGGCAAATAAGAAGCTGACATTTTATTAGAGGCCTCACTCTCAAATTGACAGTTGTGTCTTACTGCAACATGACAAGAAATCCCTTTCTTGTCACAGCTGCACTGAGACAATCCAGGTGTGATGGCAACCGAGCACTGCAGCTCCTGCCCCTGGTCATGGAGAACGCGACCTTGCAAAGAGCTGAGAGCCTATTGGCACACAGGCTTGCAGCCTGAGCCCTTAACTATAACTAATGGCTGCTCCTCTCCAGGAAATCTCTCTAGCCATCAGTGGATGAAAGCCTGGCTTAAGAAATATAGTTTTGGTAGTGGTCCAGAAGCAGCTGTTGACATAGTGAAGCAGAGATCTGCAGAACAATAGCCACTCCATTTATAAAGCCTTCCCTAGGAGACAGATTAATTAGACCCAAGAGGACTCTTTCCTGGATCAACACAAACAGTTAAAAATATACTAATTTAATGTTAAGTATAATAATTGACAAAATTACATACATGTTTTTTTGCTTTGTCTCTGTTCTGTCTCATTTAATGCTGAATTCAAAACAGCCTGTAGAAAAGGTTCTCCTTTTGCTAAGGATCAAAATCAGTTTCAACACAACAAAAATTTCTGTCTATCAGAGTTTTATCACTGGTAAATATCTTAGACTAGTCAGACTAAAATTTGAAGGGAAGTGTATAAAAGGCTATAATCTGAAACATGTTTAAGATAAAAACCTTTGTGCTTTGGACTACTATAACAAAGAATATCCTCTAGGAAGATGAGCCTGCTGTGAAACTGAAAGATTCAGAGAAAAATAATTGGCTCCATTATTTTCAAACAAAACCTAAATGAAATATATTTTATCTCTTTCTTGTATTTTTCTTTTTCTTGTATTCATGAACACATAATACTTTTTCATTTGCTTTTCATCCCCATCCTATTATTAGAAGCTGCATTTTAATTATTTGGACAAATTAATTGAAATATAGTACAAATAATAGATCAAGCAATTTTCTACAAAGCTTTTGTATAAATAATTTGAGATATGGAAAGTACTAGTTTTGTATTTTCTTATCTCGCTCCTGTTGATTGCTTATGTTGTAGGCTGAAGTAAAACTACCAGTTTTGAATTTTATATTGATTGTTGTCCATTAAAGAGCCACAGTCTAGAGAGAAATAAGGGTGAATGCATTTAATATACTAAAAATAACTTTAGGTTATTTAATAGGAAAATCTAGATTTAATTTTACTTATTAAAAGCCTAAACAATAATTGCATGCTATGTATTAGTGTTGTCTATTTATTTTTTTATTGCAATTTTATATTAATCTTTTAAAGAACGTTCCTGTAACCA